CTGAGATCACTGGCCAAGAATGTTTGCTGAACATTCCAAATGGTTTATTAGGCTGCTGAGCAAAATAATACTACTTATGTTTTCAGGTAAATTTTTAAAAATATCTGTCTGTGAGATGTATACCATTAAGCATTATTTTTCATGTCAAAAGATCAATAATGTTAATTAGTTGTTTTACATAAAAAGTATTGCTAATACCCGATATGAAGATATTTCAGATGGGGATGGAATTGTTGGGTAAAAACTGTTCTGCGCGCTGCAGACTTTCTGTCTCTAATAAATGAATACAATTAGCTCTCATTATCAGTAATATAGGTAGGGGATTCTGCCAACCTTCATTCTCTGTGATTCTCTTATTAGGGATGAGAGTTCTATTCCAAAACACACAACTGTACTTCCTTTTAGTTATAGTCTATGTCTGCATGCTGTTACCCCACCTGTCTTCACCCCAGTTATGATGTCACTGGGAGTGATTAGTTTAACCACTTGCCTACCCGAAACTTTTACCCGCCTCATGCTCAGGCCAATTTTCAGCTTTCAGTGCTGTCCCACTTTGAATGACAGTTGCGCAGTCATGCAACACTGTACCCATGCAAAATTTGTATAATGTTTTCATAGAAATAGAGCTTTCTTTTGGTGGTATTTAATTGCCACTGGGTGTTTTATTTGTTGCACTATAAACAAAAAAAATAGGTTCTATTATAAAATTTTCCAAACAGGTAATTTTTATCCTTCATTGATGTGCTTTGATGAGGCTGCACTGATAGGCAGCACTGATGAGCACTGATAGGCAGCACTGATGGGCACTAATGAGGTGGCATGGATATGCAGCACTGATGGGCACTGATAGGCTGCACTGATGAGGTGGCACTGATGTGGCGGCACTGGTGGGCATTGATGAGGAGGCACTGATGATGCTGCACTGATATGCAGCAATGATGGGCACTGATAGGCAGCACTGTTGGGCACTGAAAGGCAACACTGAAGGGTGGTGCTGACTGATGGCACTGACTGACAGCACTGACAGGTGGCATTTCTGGGCACTGATGGGTGCATCTGCTGGGCAGCACTGATGAGTGGCACAGATGGGGCACTGATGGGTACTGATGGGTGGCATTGCTCAGCACTGATGGTCACTGGTGGGTGGCACTGCTGGGCACTGATCATCAGAGCACTGGTCATCAGTGCCCTGATGATCAGTAATGATCTGCTCTGTGACATTTTCCGGTTATAGGCAGCACTGTGAGGAATGTGCTGCCGATAACCAGCAACTGTATTTACTCGGTGGTAAAAGGCTGCTGTGATTGGCCTTTTAACTCATCATGTGATCAGCTGTGTCCATAGGACACAGTGATCACAGAGATCGCTGGGTGTGCACCGCTGGGGGCGTGTGGGAGGGCATGTTTTGGGAGGACGTCATATGGCGCCCTCCCAGAACTAGACATTCGTCATTCAGCTATAGCGCGGTTGTGAAGTAGTTAAAAGCTTCCCAGTGTGATATACTAAGGACTGTATCCTTATTGGACATGTGCAATTCAGTTAATTCAGATTAGTTTTTCAGGCAAAAATTAGTATGCCTCCAAAATTCTGAATGAACATACAAGCAGATGGCAATGAATCTGAAAAAAAGTTATAATAAAATGTAACAAATGCATTTGTTTATTCCTTTTGTTCAAATGACATCATTTTGCACTTGTTTGATAATGATCCAAATTCATTGTGAATAGCTGTAGTTGTTAAGGAGCAGGTAGCTGTGGCATCCTTAACAACTAGGACTCATCTGTAAACAAAAGAAGTGCTGGTTAAATTTAAAAAACATAAATAACATTGTGGGGGTCCCCTCCAATCCATAACAGGCCCTTTGGGTCTGGTATGGATTTTGAGATAAATCCCATGCTAAACATTTTTTAAAGAATAATGTTGGGTCTACCCCAAAATGCATACCAGACCCTTGTATGGATTTTAAGGGGAACTCCATGCCAAAATTTAAAACAAAATGTCGTAGGAACCCCCCCAAAATCCATGCCAGAACCTTATCTGAGCATGCAGCCCAGCAGGCCAGGAAAGGCGGGGATGAGCGAGCAACCCCCCTCCTTAACCATACCAGGCCACATGCCCTCAACCTGGGGGTGCTTTGGGGGAGGGAGAGCTCCCTCTTAAATCACCTTGACCCCATATTGAGGGGAAAAGGACTTCTGCCCCACAACCTTGGGCAGTGTTTGTGGGGGTCTGAGGGTGGGGGCTTATCAGAAGCCAGTTTTAAAGAAAAACATTTTGGCATGGGTGTTCCCCTCAAAATAAATGCCAGACTCAAAGGGCCCCTACACTGTTATTTTTCAAAACATTTTTAACCAGCGCTTGTTTTGCCTACATTCTGCTGTCAAGTTGAAATCTTGCTGACAGCAGATGAGTCATGGTTGTTAAGGACGTGGCAGCCGCCCACTCCTTAACAACTACAGCTATTCACAATGAATTCTGATCCGTACAAAGTTTTACTTTGTGGATTAGACAAGTTTTGGAATCCATATGGTATAATGTATATACAAAATGAATCCCGAAAAATTAAACAAATACTAAAAATGAACAAGACTGACACAACAAAAACAAATAAATAAAATGATCAACCTAAGGAATACATCCAAAACTAACAATATTTTCCAGTGTGCACATGTCTAATCCTTATTCCAGTTTTAGATCGTTAGATCCTTTTCTGTTTTCCATTATAGCTTTTTTATTTATATGATTTTCCATTCTGGCTACTGATTCCAGTTACTCTTGGTGACACCCATCTTTTCTTGGCTTCTGCTTCACATCAATCTATTGCTTTCAATAGCAGGGGAAAATTGAGGGATGCAATACGAGAGCTGTCATGAAGCCACGTTCCAACATTGCTTACTGAGAGTTATGATGAAGATTTGACAGTTTTGAAGTAAATTTGTGCTTTGCCCAGATTAATTTTATTGCAGACCTACACATTATACATATACTTATTATCCTTACATCCTCCGATATTCTGTTCAGCCTGTGGGAGTAAAGGCAAAGCCCTGCATAAGCTACAAGTTAGTGGAGTAATAGGCCACACAGAATTATTAATTCATATCATGAAAACATTGATTAGCCTTATGAAGTGTCAGATGATCTCAGATGATCCTCCATACCAAGAAATACTGGTTATTGTCTTTGGCTCTCAGCCTTGAATGGAGTAACCAATGGGCAAAGTCCAAGTTTACTTTAGGGCTATGCGTCTATGTGAACGTTTAATTTCCAACTCATGTAAAACACTATTTCCTGTTTAGTTTTTTATCTGCGTATGACTGGATTATTGAGGTGATTACTGACACAATTTATTGTGTGAAGATGCTCAAATCATTTAGTAAATGTGCTCTATCATCTATATCATTGGTAATACAAAGGATAAATGTTTTAAATAATAATAAGCAGCTTTAAGATAATTCAGCAATGGAATAACCCACCTTTCTTAACTATATTATTTTTTCAAGAAATGGGACAGCTTTTCTGCTGAATTCCCTGAAGTTGGATAGTAGGCACTTTACAAAATAAGGTTCTGCTCTTGTTAGGTTTGGTCGCAATGCCTGTCTTCTGCATACCTTATCAGATGTAGACAGAGGTAGTCCAGCAATGGATGATTCCTCCCTAATTTCCCTCTTACAAAATGTCTTTTCAATAAGGATTAGGAGGACAGTCAAAGTAGGTATTGTAAGTCACATGAAATATGTGCAGACCTTCCAAAATAACTAGTGCACATTCTACAAAAAAGACGCATAGGTAAGACAAGAAGAGGCTTACAAAGAGACATTGCGAATTTCACTTAGTCACTCAAAATGTCCACTTACAGTGTTTTACTGGTAATTGATCAGGTCAGGATCCACTTTGAGCCAAGAGAGAATTAATTGTTCTTGCTCACTTATGTCTGCTTTTATATGGACATGCTGCATGTAGGAGGCAGTGGGAGAATGTAATGCTCTGATTATCTGGTTGGAGATTGTTGTTAGGTAATATAAGCTTTTCTTTTACATCCAGCATACAAGGAAGTAGTATCTTTTGAGGCTCCATAACAAGTATTCCCCAGTCCCTAATCCCCACACACCCCCACTCACCTACTCCAAAATTCAAGTACCATTGACATTTCAGAGAAGCATGAGCTCTGACAAATAGTTAATAGCCCTGTGTGTATTGACGGTGCGGTCTTGAACAAATCATGTATACATGTTTTCTGGACAGAAGAAGCAAGATAAACCACTTTGTCTTTCTTAAACACATACATATCAATCCCAATTGAATTAGGTAACTAAAGGTAAAAAAAATAAAGTGACACTAAGACTATTATTAAAAAAATATATATATTGTATACAGTGAATGTTGTTCATCTGTGCCCCTTCTAATTGGAGTATTGTTCAGCATCCAATATACACTATATTGCCAAAAGTATTGGGATGCCTGCCTTTACACGCACATAAACTTTAATGGCAGCTGAGTATTAGTCCGTAGGGTTCAATATTGAGTTGGCCCACCTTTTGCAGCTATAACAGTTTCAACTCTTCTGGGAAGGCTGTCCACAAGGTTTAGGAGTGTGTCTATGGGAATTTTTAACCATTCTTCCAGAAGTGCATTTGTGTGGACAGGCACTGGTGTCAAATGAAAAGGCCTGGCTCACAGTCTCTAATTCATCCCAAAGGTGATTCATCCCAAAGGTGTTCTGTCGGGTTTAGGTCAGGATTCTGTGCAGGCCAGTCAAGTTCCTCCACTCCAAACTCGCTCATCCATGGCTGTATGGACCTTGCTTTCTGCACTGGTGTACAGTCATGTTGGAACAGGAAGGGGCCATCAGCAAACTGTTCCCACAAAGGGAGGAAGGGAACATGAAATTTTCCAAAATATCCTGGTATGTTGATGCCTTATGAGTTCCCATCACTGGAACTAAGGGGTCAAGCACAACCCCTGAAAAACAACCCCATGCCATAATCCCCCCTCCACCATCTTTACACTTGGTACAATGCAGTCAGGCAAGTACCGTTCTCCTGGCAACTGCCAAACCCAGACATGGTAATTGGATTGCCAGACAGTGAAGCATGATTCGTCACTCCAGAGAATACATTTCCACTGCTCTAGAGTCCAGTGGTGGAGTGTTTTACACCACGGTATCTGATGCTTTGCATTGCACTTGGTGATGTAAGGCTTGGATGCAGCTGCTTGGCCATGGAAACCTATTCCATGAAGCTTTCTATGCACTGTTGTGCTAATCTGAAGGCCACATGAAGTTTGGAGGTTTTTAGCTATTGACTCTGCAGACAGTTGGTGACTTATGCGCACTGTGCGCTTCATCTGTCAGTTTACGTGGCCTACCCAGGGGCGGACTGACCATTTAGCCACTTGGGCACTGCCCGAGGGCCCGGGGTCAGTAAGGGGCCCATGAGATGCCCCTGGTACCTTTCATAGGCTTTTTTTTTGTGGTTTTAGTGTAGGCGAGGACACAAGGGCCCCATGAGTTGTCAGTCCGCCTCTGGGTCTACCACTTCATGGCTGAGTTGCTGCTGTTCCCAGTTGCTTCCACTTTGTTATAATACCACTAACAGTTGACCGTGGAATATTTAGTAGCAAGAAAATTTCACGGGTAGACTTATTGCACAGGTGGCAACCTATCATGGTACCATGCTGGAATTCACTGAGCTCCTGAGAGCGACCCATTCTTTCACAAATGTTTATAAAAGCAGTCTGCATAGCTAGGTGTTTGATGTTACACACCTGTGGCCATGGAGGTGATTGGAACACCTGAATCCAATGATTTGGAGGGGTGTCCCAATACTTTTGGCAATATAGTGTACATTAAATACACACTTTCCTAAACTTTCCCTTCTTTTATGAGGGTGGCTATGCTCATTCTACATTTCATACTGTATTTGTTAAGATAGCCACCCTATAGTGCTCGCTCTTGACATGGACTACAGTTATAAATATACAGAAGAATGTGAATGCCTCTTCATATTATAACCACTCACATGTTGTCACTGGTGGCTTTATTTTGTAGGATAAGCAGATTGAACAAATCTAACTGCAGTCATGCATGACTGCAGGTTATGTGCAGTGCTCTTTATTACAAAACAGAAGTGGAGGAGATAGGGACTTTGTCAAGGGCATGGAAGAAAAATTTTTACATTCTAGAAAAATATTTTGGCAAGTTTTTTTCAATAAACTACTGGATTTTACGTTAGATGTGGTGGCTGCATTAGTTTTCCTTTTTTCTGCTTCTTTCCTTCATTTCAGCTGGCGATCTTGCTAGTAGCACACTTTCTGTTGTAGGTTTTCCGCACTCTGGATGAAGTTGTACAGCACACACCTTTAGACAGCAATATTTTCAGGCTGAGGAAAGAGCAGTGTTAGACTAGCAGATTTAGATGGACACTTTATAGCTAACACTTTATAATATGTTACAGCAAACAGATTTTTCCATTTTAGGAAAAAGGTTTTACATAAATTAATAAAAGCTAGCCTATGTAAGCATCCCTGTCAGCATTATATGGTCTGTCTCAACCAGTGCTGGGACAAGGTTGCCTGTTGCCCAGGGCAAGAATAGCCAAGTGGCCCCCCTTCCCACCCATTTATTATGAAATAGTCAGTGTCTTTTCAAAACCAGTTCCTGCAATAAAAATCCCCAGCAATGGTGCCAGTTCTTGCAATAAAACCCCCCAACATAAAATGGCAGTTTCTGTAATAATATCCCCTAGCATCAGCGCCAGTATATGCAATAATAACCCCCAGAATTGGTATCATTAGCAGCAATAATAATCCCCAGCATCAGTACTAGTTTCTACAATAATAACCCTTGCATTGGTGCCAGTTTCTGCAATAACCTCCAGCATTAGTATCAGTTTCCGCAATAATAACCCTCAGCATTGCTGTCAGTAACGGGAATAATAACCCCCAGCATTGGTGCCAGTTTCCATAATAATAATTCCCAGCATTGCTGTCAGTAACGGGGATAATAACCCCCAGCATTGGTGCCAGTTTCCAAAATAATAATTCCCAGTATTGGTGTCAGATTCTGCAACAATGTATAAATGTCAGTTTCGATAATAATAACCCACAGAATCAGTGACAGTTTTTGCAGTAATAACCCCACAGCATTGGTGTCAGTAGCAGCAATAATAACCTTCAGCATTGGTGCTAGTTTCACAATAATAACCCCCAGCATTGGTGCCAGTCTCTGCAATAATAACTTCTAACATTGGTGTCAGTAGCAGCAATAATAACCCCCTGCATTGGTGTTAGGAGCAGCAATAATAACCCAAAAATTGGTGCCAGTTTCCACAGCAATATCCCCAACATTAGTGCCAGTTTTCCCAATAAGAATCCCCAACATTGATGCCAGTTTCCCCAATAATAATCCCCAGCATCGCCTATATGTTCATAAACCAGAAGATTGTGATGTTTGCAAATGTTGTATTGTTTACCCTGCAACCTGGTCAAGTTAAATGAAGAATTTAAAAAGAGAAATAATGCCCAGTATAGGTGTCAGTAGCAGCAAATATTTAAACCCCCCTTCATTGGAAGTGTTTTAAAGTGGAATTTAGGCTTAAACCTAACTAACCTTAAAATGCCCCCTTCCCCTCCTAACACCTATACTGACTAAACTGTGTTAAAAAAAAAAGAAGATATTTATACTTATCTATTGTCAGACCGCTCCAGTCCAGTCACATGATCTTCCATGCATGAACCAGCGGTGGCTACAGGGGAGAGGAGAGCACACTCGTAAAGCCTGGAGTGGTGACAACACCCATAGGCAGCCATAGCCCAGCTGTTGCCAATGCTCCCTCCTCTGTCTTACATATATCACTGGCTGCACAGGGGAGATCATATGACCACACTGGAGTGGTCTGAAAGTATGTTAGTCAGCATAGGTTACCAGTTGTAATAGCTGATGTTTTTTGGGAGACGCATTTCTATCTGAGGAAGGGAGTGTGTCTCCCGAAATGCGTCAGTTATTACAACTGGTAACCGGTTTCACAGGACCCCTGCTACCTGGGACTGATTAACTTGGCTACATGTCTGCTTTCATGGTCGTTTTGTGAGTATGCACTTGTCACTTTTTTATAATAAACTATTTTCTACCGCAGTAATGCATAAGGAGAGTGCGCGCCCTGTTGTGTTTACTCTTGTCAGTGTTAAGATTTCCTCGTTTTCAGAAGGGTTCCACCTCAACTAGTGACAGTTACTGTGAGACTGTGTGGACCACAAAGATTTGAGCACTGGTGATCCTATGACTTAGTCAGCATAGGTGTTAGTACAGGGGAGGGGTGTTTTTAAAGCTAGTTAGGTTTAAGCTTGAATTCCACTTTAATCTTTCTGCACTGATAGTCCATGTGGTAGTGCTTTTTAGACATCTCTGTCCATTAGTGATCAGTGGCAGTATTAATTAACCCCTTTGGGCTGCATTGGTGGATGGTGGCAGTATTAACCCCTTTATGCTGCAGGAGGAAGAGATTAATGCAAGTGATTGTATTGAATCAAGGGGGTTTATCTTCATATATTCTATGCATAAAGGTAAAAATAAAGGTAAAAAGCCCCCTCTTGATCCAGTGATGTGCATGATAGCCTCTGCTGTCTCTGGTCTCTCCCTCCCCATTGGCTGAGACAGCAGCAGCAGAAGCCTTTGACTCCTGCTACTGTCAATCACAGCTAGTGAGCCAATGAGGAGAGAGTGAGGAGTAGGGACAAGCTGCATCTGTGTGTGAATGGACACACAGAGCAGCAGCTCAGGAGTGAGCCTGCTTGGGTGCCCCTCATAGCAAACTACTTACTGTGGGGGCACTTGCCAGCAAAGAGGGCCCAGAAGCACTTGCAGGGGATTCGAGAAGAGGAGGATCAGGGCTGCGCTGTGCAAAACCACTGCACAGAGCAGGTAAGTACTGTATGGCATGTTTGCTATGTTCTTTAAAGAAAAAACTAACCTTCAATATCACTTTAACACTAACAGCAGCCTCTAATGCAGCACAAAGGGCCAAGGGGTTAATTAACATTTATCACTTATGTATCAGTAACCAGTAGCAGTGCATTAACCCATTCATGCTACCCTCCCCACACACACACACACACACACACACACACACATTCCCCAAGCAGTGCAGTTGCAGCATTGCCCCATTCTCTTGAAAGAGTTTTGTTCGGACGACAGTAGTGTGTGTGTGTAAGTGCTCTCCCAGCCACTGCCTTTCCAGCTAAAGTGGGAGGGGTTGAAGGGTGGTAAAAATCCAGCTCAACCACATGCTTTCAACTCCCCCCCCGCAAAGACTAGTGTATGAGCCCCTTAAATAATAAAAATAGCACACTTGCTGGCTGGATCACCAGATAAAAATAAAGGAAAAAAAAAAAACAGAATTCAGCCACCACATATAAGAACCGGGGAGCTGCTATTTATTACGTTTTCATTTTTGGGTTTAATATTGCTTTAACAGTTGCAGGATTATTTTTCTTGTTGAAATCTTATTTTACTGAGGTTGTGGGTATGCTCAAAGCCAAACGTCACATCTAATTAACCTTGATTCTGCCTCCTACATCAAATTATCAGCAGGAGAATATGGCAATATGTCTTTCTCAAAAATCACATAAGTTAGGGCGTTTGTCACCAAAACCTTTACAGATGTCCTAACTGTGGTATTCATAGTACAGTATCTACAAATTACAGGAAGCCAGCAATTAACATTCAGAGCACTTTTGCCAGCATTTGTCAATTTTATAAATGACGGTGAAATTCAATGTGCATGCAGAATTGGCACTCAGAAGACCTACAAGTGCTGTATAACACAATGTTCAATAACATTTTCTGATGCCTTGATTTTAAAATGAGCTACACACATTTATAATAGTTCTATCCCACATAAATTGTAACTCTTTTGCAAGACTTTTCAATAATTAGTTTTCATGTTTATAACTCTTTAACTCCAGATCTCAGTGTTCAATTACATTATGTCATGAAATCAACAAATAAAAAGAGATATATGTATAATAAATCAAATGATGTCTGTACCTAGATCACTATAAAATACATGTGATAATTTGGGAACTTAATCTTGCTCAAAGTCAAACTCTGTGGTGGAACTCATATATCACCCTGGTGTGAAATGAACAACAGTTAAACTCAATAAAATAATATAAACAGTCAGATCAATTTCACCTATCTTTTCTGAGCCTTAAAATTGATCACAAATGTTCAGATCAATGCATTTCTACTGCAGTGCAAAATTAGAACAAAATACTACCTCTATAACCAAAGAATATATTCTTTTTACTTCTAATAATGATCAAAATTTCAATGATATCTATTTTTTACTACCAAAGTGTGACATGTTTCCAAATTAAAGATACATTAAGATACATTTTATTGATCCCTAAAAGTCATAGTGCTCAGTTTACAAAGCCATAACACAAGGATAAGTCTCTCTGACTGTAATTTTCAAATCTTCTATAACTCATATATCTTATATTGTCACTTTTTTTTAAATAAGTGTACTTGTGTCAGCTTTTTACATTGAGCCATAGCCTTGTTTAATTAGGAGCTGACTTTGAGAATGTGCCCTGGTTCACATTTTCTGTATGTATACTGTTTTAGAAAAAGTTTATTTATACTGGAACACCAAGGAAGCGGGAAACGCGTACATATACGTTTTAAATGATTTACTGTTCTACCTGCCCAAAGATTTGCAATTCTGGGTAGCCAATCTTCACAATCATCTGTCCTTACCTCTTCCTGGTTTTCCTGCCTTGTAATTGGTCAAAGGTTAAAATACTAGCTGAATGTGGACAAGGGTCTTATTTCTAGGTCAAAAATGTATTTTACAGAGAGTAAATGAGTCAACACACATCACAGTATCCACTTTAACTGAGTAAGGGATATACAGTTGTGTTCAAAATAATAGCAGTGTGTTGAAAAAAAGTGAATAAAGCTCAAAATCCTTCTAATAGCTTTTATTTCCATACACACAAATGCATTGGGAACACTACACATTCTATTCCAAATCAAAATATGAAGAAAAATATATCACATTTGTGTTGTTCCTCTAAAGAAAATTGAAGAAAAGTGAATATTAGACTGTTCAAAAAAATAGCAGTGTTTGTATTCTTCTTTACAAACTCAAACATTCACTATATAAACTGAAAAATGTTTGAAGATTTTGCTTTCCTTTGAATCACTTAATTAATATTTAGTTGTATAAGCACTGTTTCTGAGAACTGCTGTACATCTGTGTTGCATGGAGTCAACCAACTTCTGGCACCTGTGAACAGGTATTCCAGCCCAGGATGATGGGACTACATTCCACAGTTCTTCTCTATTTCTTGGTTTTGCCTCAGAAACTGCATTTTTGATGTCACCCCACAAGTTTTCTATTGGATTAAGATCCGGGGATTGGGCTGGCCACTCCATAACGTCAATCTTGTTGGTCTGGAACCAAGATGTTGCACGTTTACTGGTGTGTTTGGGGTCGTTGTCTTGTTGGAACACCCATTTCAAGGGCATTTCCTCTTCAGCAAAAGGCAGCATGACCTCTTCAAGTATTCTGATGTATTCAAACTGATCCATGATCCCTGGTATGCGATAAATAGGCCCAACACCGTAGTATGAGAAGCATCCCCATATCATGATGCTTGCGCAACCATGCTTCACTGTCTTCACAGTGTACTGTGGCTTGAATTCAGTGTTTTGGGGGTCGTCTGACAAACTGTCTCTGGCCACTAGACCCAAAAAGAACAATCTTACTTTCATCAGTCCACAAAATGTTGCGCCATTTATCTTTAGGCCAGTCAATGTGCTCTTTGGCAAATTGTAACTTCTTAAGCATGTCTTTTTTTCAACAGTGGGACTTTGCGGGGACTTCTTGCAGATAGCTTGGCTTCACGTCTTCTAATTGTAACAGTACTCACAGGTAACTTTAGATCTTCTTTGATCTTCCTGGAGCTGATTGTTGGCTGAGTCCTTGCCATTTTGGCTATTCTTCTATCCATTCAAATGGTAGTTTTTGGCTTTCTTCCACGTCTTTCAGGTTTTGGTTGCCATTTTAAAGCATTTGCGATCATTTTAGCTGAGCAGCCTATCATTTTCTGCACTTCTTTATATGTTTTCCCCTCTCCAATCAACTTTTTAATCAAGGTACGCTGTTCTTCTGAACAATGTCTGAAACGACCCATTTTCCTCAGAATTTCAGAGAAAAATGCACTGTAACCAGCATGTACAACATTTGCTGCCTTCCTTCCTTAAATAAGGGCAATAATTGCCACCTGTTTTTCAAAGAATGAATGACCTGACTAATAGAACTCCACACTGCTATTATTTTGAACATGCCCCTTTCAATTAGTGATTCAATTACACAGAATCAACAGCATGCATGTTATGACTGTTGGGTCTGTTGGATTTCTATTACTCCACTACACCTGCTAGTAAATTATTTGCCATGTAGAAATATCATTTCTACCAAAAACAGTGATTGATCAGGTTAGTGATGTCTGACTGCTATTATTTTGAACACAACTGTATGTTGTTGGTCCTCTAGGCTTGGGTGGTTTGGAGCTCCACAAATAAGTATCTGGTGCCTTGACACCAATTCTACTTGCATAACAGCTGTGATATTTTCATGTGTATTGTGACAATCTGGAACACAGAATGTTTATGTACCAAGTTTACTTCACTCTATACGTGGTTTTTACTTTGCCTTTTGGGCACTATTGTTTTGTATTGGAAAATATGACTTTGCAATCAAAATCTCCTGATACAAAAAAAGATTAAAATACTGCTTCATTATCCATTCAGTAATCAGGGAATAACACATGGTGATCTGAGCTATGACATAACTGCTTGGTTAGGTAAGGAGAAAGAGGTGTGTGGTTCACGACCAGAAACTGGCAGGTGAACCAGAGACAGGAATTTTAACTGAGAAAGACATTTAACTGGAAGTCTGCTTTCAAGTCCAACTCTGCCCTCCTCATCCCACAGGGAACCTCAACAACCTCAACCCGCCCCACTAGCAGTATGTTTTCCTCTTCTATTATCCTTCATCTAACACCTCTTGGACAGTTACATGACATGCTGTCTATGTTTTCTCTTCATTTCTTTCTTGCCTTTGGGCAGTCGGATGATTCAAAGAGCAATGCTGACCTGATGACATCACCTGATTGGTGAACTGCAATGGTCTTCCTTTAACCTGGAAGATTGAGAACATTTTGTGGCCCTGTTGATTGAAAATGAGAATTGCAGCCAAAGTTGCACTTTTTAATTTAAACCTACATGGGGACATTAAAAAAAGTTGTCTGGGAATTAAATGTAAACTGATCATTAGGGAGGTATGTAGGCTGCCCTTGTTACACTTCCTCAGAAAAATGCTCTTTGCCTAGTGATCATGCTAATCTAAGGATCCATTATTTTAAGGATCCATTATTTTAAGGATTCATTATTTTCTGCGGCACTGACCTAGAACAGTTATGCAATTCAGGAATTCTGATTTCACTATGACTTCACTTGCTGCATACTGGATCTAGGTCAGTAATTTACAAAATGTTGATGCTATAGATAGCTAAGAGTTAGCAGCTTCAGAAGGAGGACAGCAACTGCAGTCATTGTGTTCCCGTCATAACAGATTCCCTGTTATAAAAATGTAATCAATAAAGTACATTTTAACCAATCAGATTTCTATCCTAATTCAGAGTAGTCCCAGAAATGAACGTTTATTATTTTTTAATTTCAAAATGGTTTCTCTGGGTCATAAAGGCATAGTAATGCTATATTGCTTGTGGTATAGATATATAAGCACATTTAGGTTTTCTGATATTAGCTTTTAACTAAATATATATTTTCTGATTAATAAGCATATTTACTGCTTGATATTAATAATAATAATAATAACAATCATAATAATAATCGTCATCATAATAATCATAATAATAATAATCAAAGTTTGAGATGTCATGTTTTATCCCATAACAGAACTCTTGTCACTTGACATGCATATACCTTGGCAAACTAACAAGCAAAATGTCAGTTTTTATTACCTGCTTTCTATGTAATGGTGGTCAACCAAAGGTAAACCTTCTTAATTACAGGTGTGAATGACAATAACTGCCACCTATATACTGTCACCTACATGTACCAGTCTTATGGACTTCAAACAGTATTATTTTATACTCAGAGCCAGGGGTGGACTGACAACTCATGGGGCCCCCGGGCAATAGGGGATCATGGGGCCCCTGTGTCCTTGCCCAAACACAAAAAAGTCTATGAAAAAGGTACCAGGGGCATCTCATGGGGGCCCCCTACTGACCCCAGGCCCTCGGGCAGTGCCCAAGTTTCCAAATGGTCAGTCCGCCCCTGCTCAGAGCACTTGCTTGGTCATCTTGGTGATGCTGCAGCTTCTCTTCTAGAGGCTAGAAATGAACCTGCTTTATCAAATTTTCAGAACTATGCAGAAACTAATATCTCACTTGGGCAAATTTAAACATAAGAGTGTACATTTCCCATACATGGGAGCACTGTATGTTCACTAAACATTTAAACAAACTGGCCTAGATTATTATTTTGGTGCTAAGTAATTAAATGCGGCTTAGCTAATGTTTACTGTCAGTGGAATTTTGAGGTGTCCTCAAAAGTAATCGGTAAGTGTCATTGCCTTACACTTGACTTAAAAATATGGCCTTACACATGTGTTCTAATGGAAAAGGGATTTGGATTTGATGGAACCCATGATCTGATCTGATCAATCAGACAGCTGTTGGCCACGTGGATAGTACTCTTGATTTTCAGTATGAAAATTTTGAGTTCAGTTCCTTCAAATGACACCAATGAAATTTGAATTTTCTTCACCTCAAAGCTGTGACAGTCTGCATATGTAAATGTTTGTCTTCCTTGTTTTTAAAAGATACTCACTGGCCCCTCATGATCCTGTATTCTTCCATCTTCACTGTGGGCATCTGAAGCCTGGCTGCACTTTTTTCCAGGATACGGTGAAGCTGGTTACCCAGCATGCACCTCCCGATTTTGCGCCTGCGCAGTGCGAAGAAAACGCACACTCATTACAGAGTGGGGGATGCCCATTGACTTCTGGGATTGATGACACATACATCCCAGGAACCAGCAGGCAGGAGGATGTGACGTACCTTGCCGTGGCAAGTGCAGAGCTTCAAGTAGCCTAAAGGTATGAAAACTTTAGGAGAAACAAAAATGTGCCAAACATTGATAGGACAGCAGGAAGCAATACATGGGGCAAAACTTTAAAAATCAAGTGGAACTCTACTTTAATTTGTTTGAGATTCATGCAAAGACATTGGTTTTCTCCCACAGCGAAAAACACATGAGCAAGTTATATGGCTTTTTCCCCAAACGGACTCCCGTGTATGTGTTTGTATGTCTAGATACTAGAGAAGTTCTTAAAATGGAAGCTCTGTCCTATTGAAAGCTCCACCCAAATCATCTAATCACGCATTATATCCAGTTGCAGACTTTGCACATGTTAGATACACCGGAAAAAGATTGTATGATCGTACACAGGGCATGTGTAACACGTCCAATCTTTCTGCTCTGCTTCCAGCACCTCCCCGTCACAGTATTAGGCAATTCAGCTCAGATTAATCAAAGCAGCATTGATACATAGAGAAAGTTCTGACAGCTAGAGCTGTCAAAGAAATGCAGTCTGGCAAAGTTGTTAACAACATTGCTGGAAAGAAAACAATGTTTCACTTTGTATCTTTATTAATCTACAGATCAAAGGGGATGAACTTAGATCTGCAGGTGAAGTTGCTAAAGCAACTTGACAAGTAAAAAAAAGTTTTGTTTTTTTTAATTAAATGTTCCTCTGTTTAACCCCTTATTAACCCTTAGTTTTCTCTAATCAGCCCTAATTAACTCCTTTTTATCCTTCTCCATTCAAATAATAATTTCCTGCTAATTTTTTTTGTTTTGTTGTTAGTTTCTATTTTTATTAACTAATAATGTTTGTTTTTGTTTGATTTCTTCATTATTAGTTTTATATCTTTAACATATATTTCCAAATTTCACATAAAAAAACAACGCAAAATTGAAAAACAAAAAAACACTTTGTTCCATTTGGAAATAACTTTGCAATGCTTTGTACCAGAATCATAATTTTAGTGTAATTTTAAAATGGACAAATTACATAATAACATCTCCACTTTTTATGTGCAGTAACACTATTTATTTTTAAACTAATGCTACTCAAAAAAAGAAAAGTGTGTTTTGTTATGTTTTGTAATGTTTAATTGTTTAAGGTTTGTAAAAAAAAAAAATCATTGTTGTAAGACAATATTCACAAAAAGAAAGCCTTGTTTGTCCTTAAAAAAACAATAAATGTATTACTTTTTTATCTTAAGTAATGACAAAATTATCTCTGAATAAATAGGTCCATAGCAGAAACTTAAAAATTGCTCTGGTCTAAAGGGGGTGAACAGGTGTGAGAGGCAAAGTGATCAAAATTAAAAAATTATTGCTGCAAAAAAAAAAAAACTTTTAGAACCCAGCTTTCTTGGGATACATGGTGAGACATGGTGGTATCACCTGTTCCAGTTTGGGAGCATTGGAAGTCAAGGATTAGGTAATTTTTTTTCTTTTATTACAATAGCTTTATCTGTAAAATGTAGGCAATTGCATTCGGGGGTAGGGGGCTTTCAGTAGAGCAGACCTCAATGAAAATGGAAAGTCTGCTTTAAAATATCCTTAGTATTTGATTACCGGGTGTCCTATCTATCAAAACATTCATTTTACCTAAAATAAATTGGAAGTTTCTGCATTTGGCTTCTGAAAGCACAGGGCATCATGTGTTTAACAGAGGAAGATGGTTAGGATGATACATTGTATGTCTTTTCTGTGTTTTTATTAAGGACATACACTTGAAAGATAGTGTAGTGATTGTATTATATGATGCTTTGCTATCCTTACCTGATGAATTTAAGGAAATATAAAACTTTAAAATGTTTTCATATTAACATTTGGCACCTTTATGCCATTGCCCATACCTTATACACCTGGAACTTCAAAGGTGTGGACAAATCCATGCCAATATCAATAAGCCTAGCCCTTTAGGGTGCCAAAAAACGATCCTTGCAAAAATAGGAGTACCTGTGTTTTGCACTGTTTTACTAAAGTAGTGATTCTTATTTAGACTCCCCTTGTTATAGAGTCTAACAGAGACATAGTTAACTTACAACAATAGTTACTGTTACCCTGACTTTGAATGACAATTGCGTGGTCATGCAACACTGTCAGGGCTGCAGTTAGAAACCACGGGGCCCCATACAGCCAACCTGACTGCTCCTCCCATAATAAATACAGGTAACTATGCTTCAGTTATGAATAAACACAGTGAGTGATTTGTACCAATAACGCATTGTGTTCATTCAGGAAAGGAAGGAGCTGGTAAATGTGACATTTATGCCAGACCCACCCCCCACTCTCCATCCTGTTGTGTGCATGCAGCTGCCAGTGGAAAGGAGAGGATGGAAGCTGGCAGCACTGTGGGGGGGGGGCACACAGGGGGGGCAAGGGCAGCAGAGGGAAATGTATGTGATTGGTGCGACAGGAAGCAATTACTGGAACCGATCCCCTGCATGCCTTTCTCCCTGCAGCAGCTGAAAGTCAGCAAGAGGGAAAGGAGAGGAGAAGACAGCTTTCAGCTGGTGCAGAGAGAGCCATACAGGGACCGGTTCCAGTAATAGCTCCCCACTGTGCCGATCACCCTCCCTGCCCACATCTGATTCACCCAGCTGCCTGGGCCCCCTTGTTGTCCTGGGCCATGTACAGGAGGTATGGTGGTACCCCCTTATCAATGGCCCAGAACACTATACCCAAACTAAATTTTTATCATTTTTTTGAGACAAATAGAACTTTATTTTGGTGGCATTTGATTACCACTGGGGTTTTTATTTTTTTGCTAAACAAACTAAAAAAGACCACACATTTTGAAAAAAAAAGTTTCTCTTATTTTCTGTTATAAAGTTTTGCAAATAAGTAATTTTTCTCCTTCACTGATGGGCACTGATAGGCTGCACTGTTGGGCACTGATAAGCTGCCCTGATGAGCACTGATAGGCTGCACTGATGGGCACTGTTAAACGTCACTGTTAGGCGACACTGATGGGCACTGATACGCAGCACTGATGAGGCGGCACTGATAGGCGATACTTATGGGCACTGATAGGCGGCACTGATGGGCACTGTTAGGTGGCACTGATGGGCATTGATAGGTGGCACTGATGTACACTGTTAGGCAGCACTGATGGGCACTGTTAGGTGGCACTGATGGACAGCACTGATGGGTGGCACTGATGGGCAGCACTGATGGACAGCACTGATGGGCACTGATACAACTGATGGGCACTGATTGCCAATACTGATTGCCAGCACAGATGGGCACTGATGGGCACTATTGACCACACTGATGGGGCTACACTGATCACCAGGATCACCCTGATGATCAGTTTAGATGTCCCCCCTGCAAAATGCCACTTACTGGCTCTCCTCTCCTCACGCGCTGTCTGTGTAAAGAGAAAACTGCTGATAACCGTCATTTCCTATTTACCTGGTGATCAGCTGTGATTGGACACAACTGGTCACATGGTAAAATCAGCTGAGATTAGCCCATTCCTTAGTCATGTGATCAGCTGTGTCCAAAGGACACCGCGATCACAGATCGTGCACAGTGCCCACCCCAGGGGGCACGCGGGGGTGTGTGGATGCCCTCCCAGATCTAGCCAACCTCACTGTAGCCATATTTTGGCTATAGCGTAGTCGGGAACTGGTTAAATATGCCATTCCAAAACCATGAGCATTGATACACAACTGAACAACACTTTGGGGCTATAACAGGTTCCACTGGAAAACGTGTCTGTGGGAATTTGGCCCATTTAGTAAAAAGAACACTTGTGAGGTCTAGTACTGATGTTGAATGAGAAGGTCTGGCACACAATAGGCATTTAAGTATATCCCAAAGATTTTCATTAGGTTTGAGGCCAAGGCTCTGTGAGGGTAACTCTGGTTCCTCCACACCAAGCACATCAAACCATATAATTTTGAACCTGACTTTTGGGCAAAGTCCCATCCTAAAACTGTCATCACAAGGTTGGAAGCACACAGTTGTTTAATATTTCTTTGAATGTTGTGACATTAACAAGAGCCTACACTGGAAACACCTGCATTCAATAATTAGGGGGGGTGTAACATAATTCCATTATTTTTCATATTTTCCATATGCTTTAGTATGGGAAATTATCAGGTATCCACAAACTTTTGATCATATAGTGTAAGTGTGGGTTGTGCTGCAGAATCAGTTAATTAGAATGAGTCAATAACGTACAAAAACTAACGAGGCAGGTTTGCATAGAAAATGTGCTTAAACTAAATATCTACAATTGATCTACACACAGTCAAGCGTCCACATATCCACATAAAGTATACAGGATAAGCAGAATTCTTCTTCCGTGCAGACTGTGACAGGATGTTATACCCAATAACTTCTAGATGTTGATTCAAAATGATTTTGACTAATGGACAGAATGTGCAAATGTACAGTATACTGCATTGTTTGGGGGTGACACTTTGTAGAAACCTGAAATGTGTGATAAAGAAAACAAAAACATACAGTATGTAAAGGTTTCATTTTTTATCCCTAGCTTTTATCATTATTTCTCTCTATGCTGTCTGTAATGGCTAGTAATTATAATGATCTCTAATAGATTGTAAGCTCCCAGGATCTTACCCTCTTGTATTGAACTGAATTGTTGCAGTATTGTCTCCCTTTATACTGTAAAGTGCTGAGCAAACTGTTGGCACTATATAAATCCTATATAATAATAATAATAATCTCATGGACTTTTACTAATATTCCTAAGCAAAAGTACTGTTCTCATCTCCATTTCTGTTATCTTTTGTTTGTAATTTACATGACATGATATATTTATGACAGAGAAGGTGGCAACAAAAGCAGAAAGTGCTGTTATTGTAGACACACACTAACACACAAACTCATTCTTTATGAAATGTGACAATCATACGAGATCAAAATGGTATTACAACTGTGCAACTGTGAATTCTGCTGTTGTTAAAGGGGTTTTCCTCCTGTGTAACAAATAGCTCCTGAAGTCAGGGTAACGGATTGCTTTTCACAATGCTGCAGCTCACAGCTGGCAAAACAAATCATTCATATCTGTTCTGACAGCGGAAAGTGGATTGATTCAGTCTATTAAAATTGTGTGCCAGAAAAGTGTGAGTGTGACTCAACATCTTGACTTCAAATTGTATGTTTTTGGATAGTGGCCATGCAGTTGCAAAAAATAAATAAATTAACTAATAATGGCAGAATGAAAAAAAATTTCAAGTTGAAAATTCTAGTATTGATATAACAGACAATGTGGAAGCTAAATGCTCTTCCTTCTGTGAAAAACCATGGTGAGAACAATTACTCTAAACATCAATGAATCATTCAGGAGTGTGTTGTGTATGCCAAGACTTTTCTGCAACTACAAACAGGCAAACATGTCTGGTGGTGCTGTGCTAATGCTAAAGCAATGGACATGTCAGTAGAATGAAGAAGTCAGCATTATATTTTCAATAACATTAACTCTTTAGTTACATCTTTCCCTGTAGGGCTTGGTTAAAGTGGAACTTCACCCAAAAGGGGAAGTTTCACTCTTCCTCCTCTTCCCCCCAACCCTCCTCTGTCGCATTTAGATTTTTTTTTTTTTGGGGGGAGCAGGTATCTGGTTTTGACAGGTACTGTCTCCTACTTTTGCTCGGATCGCCTAGGCTATCCAAGTGGAAGTTCTCCTCCCCCCCCCCTGTCCACAGCCTTCTGGGTCACATCACAGGTCCCAATAGACTGCGGGACCATTCAGGTAGTGCAGTGCGGGTCACACATGCACAGTAGGCATCCCGCTGGCGACAGTTAACATGCCAGCACTGGGAACTGAAGACTGGTGAAGAAATTGGCTCAGGTGAATACAGTGCTGGATTTTGGGACAGGTGAGTGTCTGTTTATTAACCCCCTGGCGGTATTCCCAAGTGTAGCTCGGGGTTAACTTTCAGTACCAGAAGCAGTAACCCTGAGCTACACTCGGGATTACCCTGCAGCATTGCTCTGGGATCCCTCCAGCACTTACCTTGTCCTGTGGTCCCACGATGTCCCCCCTGCAGAGTCCCCGGCCATCTCCTCTGGCTGTCTTCCGGGTTCCATTCCCTGCGAGCGTCGGGACGTATGGGACGTACGGGGGATGGAAATGTAAAAAATTTAAAAATTTGACATTCACTCAATACACTAAAATCTAATAGTATTACATTACTGTATTAAACCATTTCACATACATTTTGTCCCTAGTGCTTTGTCCTGTGCCCTGCCTGCATTTTTACTGTTCTTTTTGCCTGGAAACTGAGAAACGTCCATGGCGTCCAAAAAGTGTCCCTTTAGGTCAAAAGTGGTTTTAGACCAGCTAGAGAACAGGGATAGTAAATTAGAACCACTTGCAGAATTGAGTGATACTGATTCGTGGGGAAATTCGTCATCAGACACTGAAAACGATTTTGCGACTGAGCTCAGTGATGTGCGAACTTGGTGCTATATATTTCAAATTTCAGTGTTTTTGGTTTGATTTCGGTATTGAATTAAGTGTATTATTATATTATTATTTTTTATGATTATTTATTATATTATAATTTATGATTTTGTGATTCAAATTTTATCATACCCGGGATATTTACTAGACTCTTGTTCGGACAGATTTCAGTGAGTTATTCCTAAAAATTACAGGCCTACAATATAAAAACAACATATTTCCATTGAAAACAATGTACCGATTTGAGCACAGAAATACTGAAATAATCAGACCACTAGGGAGGTTAAAAGACTACACTTTTTGTAGTGGCTGACTTTTATTTTTCACACACATGGCTGAAATTCCTCTTTAAGGACAAAGCATTGCCATTTTGATAGCTGCTAATATGATAACTGGGCTTTGTTTTTCACCTGTAAAATGTGGTTCATGATAGGTGCATGTGTGCAAAGACAGATGCCACATGCACTTTAGGTCTACTCCACATCCAGTAGGAGCAGATCAAAGGACATTACACTAGTTGCCAGTCCCCAGCAGGGGCGGACTGACAACTCATGGGGCCCCCGGGCAATAGGGGATAATGGGGCCCCTGTGTCCTTGCACAAACTCAAAAAAAACCTATGAAAAAGGTAGCAGGGGCATCTCATGGGGCCCCCTACTGACCCCGGGCCCTTGGGCAGTGCCCGAGTTTCCAAATGGTCAGTCCGCCCCTGGTCCCCACATTGTAGGCATTGCATCCACCACCTCCTTTGCCTACAGATAAGCTAGCTGTCTCAACATGTTTCAGCATGCCGAGAAACCCCAAACTAAGCCCATAGCAGAGGCTATGGTGAGAGCTTTAGCCAAGATGGTGTAGCCCTGGGTTTTTTTTTGGTCTGGGGGGGGGGTGTTATGAAAAATGACCATCCTCAAACAGGATAGTGTGCTAAACCTGTAGGTAAATAGTAGAGCCAGAACATTTGTGAAGTGGAAAAGTGGGTTTGATAATAAAGCTAGCAGTGCCTCCATCCAGGACAGGTCTTTTGGGCCTCTGCAAACAAGGGGAATTCCATTCCTGGGAAATTAACCAGTAATCTAATCAAAGTAATCAAAAGAAGAGAAACTACTGCAGCCAGCATATAACATTAACCATAGGTAAATAGATGCACACCAGCAGGGGCAGACTGACCATTTGGAAACTCGGGCACTGCCCGAGGGCCCGGGGTCAGTAGGGGGCCCCATGAGATGCCCCTGGTACCTTTTTCATAGGCTTTTTTGTGTTTGGGCAAGGACACAGGGGCCCTATGATCCCCTATTGCCCGGGGGCCCTATACGTTGTCAGTCCGCCCCTGCACACCAGTATGGGAATAGTATAAGCTTTAAAATATAGGTTATAAGATTATAAGGTTATAGGATACACAAATAAGTACTTACAGCAAAGGGCCCAACTAGAGTCCTGGTGGAATTTTGCACATATATCCAAGTATATACAGTTAATAATAAAGATATCTCCAGCTGAATGTTACAGCAAAATGCAGTTGTAGGGATCCCTGAAGATGATCACAATGCAGAGTCTGTGCTTGTGTCGGAGACCTGAAGACAAGATGAGCGGTGATGGGGATATCCTCCAATTGTTTTCCAACCATTCTGGAATGCAGCTTTTCACCATCAGAATCCATGGTATGGCACTGGACCTCAGAGTCAGCTTATCTATTCTGCTTCGTAGTGTTGTAAACAAATATTACGGACTAATCATTAATGCAATTATTAGTATTGTGAAGACAGACAGTTGTAGAATACAATCTACTCCAATCCAAATTAATTTCCAATCAGCAACTTCAGTTCTTTTCCAGAGAGTAAAGTGTTTTTTGGATCCTAGAAACAAATGACAAAGTCCAAAAGAGTATTGGAAAGAGATTGCAATGATCAGAAGCTTTCAAAGTCCTTGTTCCACTGTCATGTCCTTTATTAGCAAGCTTTATAGACACTCCACCCATCCAGCATATGTGTCCGATCTATATTATGCAGCTAGGTGTCCTTCTTTTCATGTAATGTATGCTATAGTCTAAGTCATTCTTTCCATAAAACTGTTTGCAATCAAATTTATATATATATATATATATATACATATATACACACAGTTTTGATACCAGTGACTACCATTGTATGGGTTTCTGATTGGCTGACCAAAAACATTTGATCTTGTTGTTATCAAGATGAAAGGCTCTACCTGCAGTCATTAAAAACAACAATTAAGGCCAACTGTATTGTTTACAACCATTATTTCTTACAACAGTAAACCTATACCTATACCTATCTGAGTAGAATTAGCAGACAAAGTCCTCAAACCCTTTTTTTAGTGTGTAAATGTTCTGCTACCTGTCTATGCATGTACAGTATTTTCAGAAATATACACTACTGTGAAAACATTTTAGGCAGGTGCTGTAAAGTAAGAATTCTTTCAAAAATATTCTATCAGTTCACAAAATGCAAAGTGAGCAAACAGAAGAAAAATCTTAAAAACGGGTGTCAAACTGGCGGCCCTACAGATATTGAGAAACTAGATTGACCGTTACAAGCATGACTCCCGAAGGCAGAGGCATGATGGAACTTACATTTTTGCAACAGCTGGAGGGCTATCAGTTTGACACCCCTGATCTAAATCAAATCAACATTTATTATGACTACCCTTTGACTTAATACCAGCATCAATTCTTACACGTGCACACTTTGTACACTTTGTCAGGTATATAATTAACCAATTATACTAAGTAGGTGCTAATGATTATCAATTTCATTTATAGGTTGAAACACAGTCAATAACTGAAACAGAAACAGCTGTGTAGGAGACCTAAAACTGAGTGAGAAACAGCCAAACTCTGCTACTAAGGTGAGGTTGTGGAAGAAATTTTCATGTCAAAGGTCATACACCATGGCAAGACTGAGCATAGCAACAAGACACAAGGTAGTTATACTGTATCAGCAAGGTTTCTCGCAGGCAAATGTTTCAAAGCAGAATAAGGTTTCAATGTGCTGTTGTTTTTTTTTTAAATAGCACAAATAAACGGACAATGCTGTGGACCGTAGCTGCAGTGGTCAGCCAAGGAAACCTAATGCAGTAGATGAAAGACACATCCTGCTTACTTCCCTCAACATCGGAAGATATCCGACAGTGCCATCAGCACAGAACTGGTGGAAACCAGTGGAACCCAGGTACACCCATCTACTGTCCAGAGAAGTTTGGCCAGACGTGGTCTTCATTGAAGAATTGTGGCCAAAAAGCCATATATCCGACATGGAAACAAGGGTAAACAACTCAACTATGCACTGAAACATAGGATCTGGGGTGTAGAAAAATGGCAGCAGATGCTAGATTGATGAGTCAAATTTCTTTATATTTTTGCCATTTGTTTAGCAATCCCTTGCCTATTAGCCCAGAGAATTGCCATTACTGTTTTTTTTATACTTTATCGCCCATTGACTTCAATGCAGTTTGGATTCAACAGTAACGTTCTTTGAACCTGCCACGAACCAAACCAGGTACGTTCAACTCATCCCTAGTTTTAAACAGTGCTTGCATGAATGCAGTCGTAAATAACTTATCTTGATTATATCTCAATACAAGATTTAACAAGAATGTAGATTTTTGCTAGTAGTGTTTAAAAGTGTAACTTTAGTCAGAAACTTAAGTTCTAATAGTTTTTTTCATGCTGGCCACTTTTGCAGGTACAGTATAATTTTGTAAAACATTAAAAATCAGTGCCTATACTGTTTAAAGGTAAGGCATGGTCTCATCCTGCTCTGCACATGCTCATTTGCTCCCTATTCTTGGCACTGTACCAAAAATCAGAGCAAATAGAGGCCGATATACTGACAGCCTAAAGATTTACTGCAGCTCAGGGGCTCTGGGCTTCAGAAAAATCACAGTTGCCAGCTGGCAAGAAGAAACAGGAGCAATGCTGGAGGCAATTTACAGCAAACACTAAATTTGGTGGTATAATTATTAATGTGGAATGTACTGTATGTTCCTAGCTAAAGAACATTATTTTTTATCACGTTGCTATGTGTAAAGTTCCGTTTTAGCCACACAGAGGCAAAAATTATACTGTGGGTTCAAGAATATGGAGAAAAAAGAAAGACATTTTCTCAACCCTACTAACAACCAACTATCATTGCTGGCAATGTGAAGTGCTCTCTAAGAAGCTTTTTACCTTAGCATTCCTTAATAGAATGGTACTAAAATTGCTAGCATTATTGATTACTCAGCAATGGTAGATTGAATAGGAGAGAAAGTATACTCTCCTACATTGCTTTAATCTGCTACGTAAAACTGTCACTCAGATGGTATTTTTTTAGTGCTCGACTGTAACCTCTTTTATATATTGTATAGGTGCACTGATGGAAGCATGAAAGCATGAAAACAGGAAAAATATGTATACTAATATATCAACAGAAAATGTAACCTAATTATGATATAGAAATACATATTTAGACCCTAAGCTGACTATATCTGTTAAATTAAGTATGGTCCTTTTCTGTGTCATGGACACTCCAAGACTGCTATGAGTAACTATTGAGGAATGTGTAATTGTTTTATGGCCATGACCATCTGGTAGCATGTGTCTGTATGTGGCTTGCTATTTATGTATGGTGTGACTTCCCATCTTTAGCAATCTGTTCAATTTAGTTGTTCTGTCCTACTTTAGAACATATTTTACAATGTAATGGGGAGATATTAAAGTAATTTGTGTAATACACCAGATTTATAATGGTGACTGTGTTAAACTGCTGTACTAGATCAGATACTCAGGGAGTTACCATCTTGCTCTTGTACCATTAAACTGGACTTCACCTTTTCTAGATACCCATTATGGCCTCCCTCTGGAAGATGTTTATTTGTGGCCACCCCAAGGTTTGAGGTTTTAGGCTTGGTTCACACTGCCATGACTTGGGATCCAACTTGTGAGACCCCAAGTCGCATGACATGTGAAATCCCATGTTAGTCAATGAAAGCTGTCTTAATTAGCACTACTGAAGGTGACTTGTATTTGACTTGTACCTACAGACCTATACAGTATAAATCGCTAGCAACTTCCCAGGAAGTCATCTGGCAAAGTAACACCGTAAGTTGCGCAGTTTTCAAGTTGTGGCAGAGGCAATTTTCTAAATTTTTTATAAGTCTGAATTATAATATATTATTAGATTGCAAGACGACACAGGTGTTGGGAGATCCCCTGAAGAGTTTCACTTACTGATATGACTCCTATAGTTGTGCCCAGCATATTCAAAAAAGGAGGGAGTCTACCAAACATTATGCGTTATTACCATGTCTCACAGTTATACATGTAATTAAAAGGATGATAATATAATGATTAAGGAGATATACCTTGTCTTCTGCTTTAACAATTATTCCTTGTTTGTCCATCCTGTACACCGAGCTGTGGATGCACAGCCAAGTATACAATTTCGTCAACACTAAGATAAATGAGCTCCAGTGCATGTGCAAGAGTGACATCATCTTGGCACAGATAATAAAAATGACTAAAGGCCAGTACTTGGAAGCAGACAGGCCTGAAGATGTCAATGGCTGGCAGGGAGCTCTGGGTCAATGCAGAGTATAGCTCTGCTTTAAATAAGACAGGTTCTATCTGCATACTCTCTAAGGCTTCATTCCAACAAGCATATGTGTATTTTATGCATGAAACACAGGTTCTGGCTGGCAGAGCTAGCAAAAGATCCTGCATAAAATACACAGCAAAAGTACTTGAATTTAGACATGTTTAGACATATACAAGTCTTCTAATGTGTATACACATTTACATATGTACATATACAGGGGCGGACTGACAACTCATGGGGCCCCTGGGCAATAGGGGATCATGGGGCCCCTGTGTCTTTGCCCAAACTCAAAAAAGCCTATGAAAAAGGTACCAGGGGCATCTCATGGGGCCCCCTACTGACCTAGGGCCCTCGGGCAGTGCCCGAATTTCCAAATGGTCAGTCTGCCCCTGTACATATAAAATCTGAAGATATGTATGACCCTGGAGACAGCTGTATCCTACATTTTTTGTAAGCTGCTAAACTCAGCACTCATTTTGTTTTGTATGGTCCATTTGAATCCTATGTATTGTGCTGTGTTCAGATGCTTACAAAACTATTCACTGTATGCATCTTAACGTGGCATTGTAGGCTCCCTTGTGATGAACCCTAAGGAGGTTCTAATCATTGCCACTTATTCTGGAGAACTTTATTCTAATTTAATGCAATTGAAATGTAAGATAATGCAAGGGTGTACAAATGCTTTTTTCAAGTGACAAATCTGCATTTTGGTTAATTAAGATTATGAAATTGAATACACATTGTAAATCAGCTTCATCAACATAAATATGAATATGTGGTGAAATATTTTTATAGATGCACATCTACCTTTTACATTGTATATGTAAAATGCCTAAACCTCTTGGCAGTGTGTTGTTTTTTTTCATAGATAGGAAAAAAGACAGGTATCCAAACTAATCACCTCTCTACCAAAAGTGCTTTAATTTTGTCTGTGTTTCCACTGGAGAAACTCTGTTCACTGCATGCCTTGGTAACTACAAATGGGGGGGGGGTATTTTTTCTTTAACCAGGATGCAGATAAACAATAAAAAACCAGGAAAAATATCTCATTATTCCTCACTCTGTCTCATTCAACTAAAAAATGTTTTGGCTGGATTTGGGCTTTTAGGTCCTGCCATTTTATGGGTAATGTTGACAGTTTTCCCTAAAGCCAAACATTTTTTGTTGTGGAAAAAGTGGGGACTGGTTAAAACCCCTGCTCGGTTCAACCTCAAATCCTGAATTGTGCAGTAACTAAGCAACACAAACTATGCTTTTTTATGACTTTGCTTTTCATGGGCCAGTTTTGGTCAAAAGTGAGTCCTTGCCAAGATTTAAAGTGAGAGCCTGTTTCCTAATATGCGTTACTAGATGGCTAGGTGACGCAGTAGAACCAAGGTCTAAAGCAAATCTAAAAAGTGAAATGTAAAGTGCTCAGGTCAGACACAGGCAATAGAACACATGGGAGTGTTTTTTAGGGGGGCAGTTAAACAGTGATAAACCTTTCACCGTTCACATGTTAACAGCATACCAATCCACCCAAAACAGGGGTATAATCTCTCAGCAGTGTATGTCCCTTATATCTGAAAGCATAACATCCTGAATTTACAATATTACAAGCTAGTGCTTGGGTTCTTGTAGCTGGGTACAGAGAGGGGTATAGAGGAGCTGGGGTTGGGGCCAGCTATGCAGAGAGGCTGTCTAGACAGACATAACAGGAACCATAAAGCACACTTCACCATTATATTTATGGCATCATGCAACATGAATGTTTCCACCTATGCATCCTATTACATTCAGCTCATTCTACTATGCATCTCAAATGTTGTGGACACCATACCATTCTCCAAGTTACACTTATCACACCACAGTATAAGCCTAACATTTGAGATCATTCTCCACAATACAGTAATGATATGAAGGTATGCACAGTGGATAGGATTAGAGGTCTGTCCAAAATATCAGGTTGGGAAGGGTAACAAAAATTATAGTAATACAATCTTTGAAAAAATTAGTGATGACTTGCTTCCATAATTACTCAAATAAACCCTTAGCACTATACTGCGCAATACATAGGATAATGTGGCAACATATGGCAAACACATGGCAAACACTCTAGCAATCCTGTGGGGGAATGACCTGCCAGTTTGGTCTGAAGCCAGGTTTGGGCTGAATTTTGCTTGATTGGAGGTTCAGCAAATGGTTAAACTAAATTGATCCATTTATTAGCTGTATTACTACTGGAATCTCTATGACATCACTGATCAGATATGGCCATGTCATTTTTTGCTTAATGACATCAACCAGGAGACTCTGCCCCTTTGTTTACTTTTAGCAGGAAGTAGGAGATGGCATTTGCTACAAGAGACTTTAGAAGATTTTGTTAGCGGTCTGCTTTTTTTTTTTTTTCTTTTGGCAAGTCATGGGGAATTATTAATTGGGATTGACATAGCTCTGCATTGCTGGATGATGTGGTTAAGGATGAATTTACATTGTGAGAATTGTTTTTCTCTTTTAATAAAGGACATGTCAACAACTGTCCCTGAGGAAGCCATGTGGTTGGTGCCGTAACACGTGGGGCGGAGCTTAGTGACATCAGTTTCGGTTATGGAATTGCAGACCGGAAGTACTATGCTGGTCCATACCGATCTATATTATCCAAGATATTGTGAGTGATAATCTGTCTTTGGTTTTTATTTAATAAATGTTATTATACTATGGGAGCCTGTTCTTTTCTTCCTACATGTGGATATTGAGTGATAAAGAGATCCTTGTGGTTGATTGGGTTATTGTCATCCCTGGTAATGGCATAATCAAGTTTATGCTGCCATCTGGAGTCCGTGGATTGAATTACTATGCTTGATTGACCTATATTTATCATATAGCTCAATTCCATGCGGTGAGCAGCCATTCTTACTTGTTGGTGGAGGTGCACTTATTTGCAGTGGAGCACTGTTGGTTGGAGTTGTGGAGCATATTTTTATTCAAGCACAATTTATTCAAGCACAATATTGAGTTGGAGCTGTCACAACAAATGTACTTTAATTATATATCTCACTTTGGACCCTTATATGACATGTTATGTTTTTCAAATATGATATGAGTTAGCGCAACACTATTGTTCTTATTTTATTAGTGATAGTGTATGGACAGCAAATGGACAATACATAGATAATAAAATACAGGTCACTGGAGCCTATTCTTTCTCCCTCTACACTATGCACCTTAGTTTAGGCAATAGCCACTGGACACACTCCAGTGGCCACAGGGAGGTGCTAGAGAGTGGGGGAGGAGAATTAGGCAACTCCAGTTCTTCTCTCAGTTCCCTGCTCCAGTGAGCTAATTGACTGGCCAGAGGGAACTCCAAATACTTTATAGACCTAGAAATCATATTGATTAGTTTCCCTGTGTCAGCTGGTTGTCACTTGTGAGGCAAAAGACAGATATGCAGTTCTCAACCAACAACCTTGAATATCTCCCTGACACATAAGTCAACCATCTTCTTGGACATCAATCCCTTGCCCCTCTATGCTTGCAGTACTCTGAGAGAAGGATGCTGTGTGTTGGGGCAGCGACAACATGTGACCTTTTGACATTTTGAAGTATACTGTGCATCTTGGGTCCTATCAGAGAGTGGGGACCCTGGCTAATTGCCAGTTTGGCTCAGTCCTCATGACAGCTCAGAGTGCATTTAAGATTTACTTCTTTCATCAAATCACTCCTTTCATCTCAAGCTTAGGCGATCCATATTTTCAATTTTTGTTCTTACCTTGGATGGGGATGTTTTAAAAATAATTTACCTGCTCTATAAAATATGTGTCTTTCTGAGGAAAACAGGAACTCTTTTTTTTTTTTTACTGTGCATATTGACTTTGATATTGCTTAATGGACACCTTTACTAATATAACCACTGCATACGGTATCTATTCTTTTTCTTTGGTTGTAACATGTACTGCTATTGAGCAAATTGTAAAAGATATAAACTCTTTTGAGAACAGACACCTATCAATTTCATAACTAAAAAGCTCAAAAGCTGTATTTCTAATTCTCTTAAAATGGATAAAATGGCTCATGTTGTATAGTTAAAGGTATTTTATGAACTGTAATTCAACTTAACAGCTTACAAAACCTCCCTGCTGTCTTATTTAAACGAAGTGCTGAGAAGATACACCATTATAACAAGCTAAATATGTATGAAAATTTGATTAGACCAAAATAAAAACCAAAAAAATGCATGCTCCAGATATGCAAAGATCTATAAGTGAATTGAAAAATATACAGACTCAAGCATCTTTTGTGATATATCAGCGGTTTCCAATCTTTGTTCCATTTTCTCTTCTTTTTAAACATATATGAAATAACCGAGGGAAATTGAAGATAGAAAACAGGGTAGATTGCCTTTTATACAATTCAAATTCTTTCCAAATATTAATTTGTAATTTTTTTGTAAAACAATAGTCTTTTAAGCAACACAACTTTTTGGAAGATACAGTTTTTACATTAGGTTTTAATGATGGTTGCAGCTATAGATTTGTCCTTTCTATTGCCACCTCAACTGATTTTTTTGCAAAGCAAAACAGCTAAACCTAAAGTGCACTAAAATAGCGACAAAAGAGACATGATCAGATAAATAAATTACAGCAAACACATTAGTCAGCCACAAGTAAGAGAACAGGTAACATCCTGTGAAAGACAGATCAATACCTTAATGGATTCCAGTAACATCACTAAACACTTGCAAAAAGGAAAACTCAGGGAGATATAAATTGTACCAGATTTTTTTGCAGAAATACTTCACACTGCTGACACTTAGGTAAAAGAAATATTTTATACCCTAATATCTCTGCATGAAACAAATTTGATCCTCTGTAGATAGCTACCAATCAACTGGATTTTAAATGCCACGACTGAAAAAATAGATTTTAGACATTTCACTAACTTTCAAGACTTAAATAAATCTGAGTATAGAAAATTGATAAAAACTGTCCTAACAGAAGAATAAATAGTTAATTACTAAATAATCAAACAAAAAACATAATACATCAGAGTCACAATATTTAACCAGTTCAGTTCTCACACCTTTACACTTCCTATAAACCAGAGCAATTTTTAAATGCTGCTATAAGGCTGTTTATTCATATATAATATATATATAATGAGTACACCCCTTTTGAAAAGTAAGATTATAATCAATATCTCAATGAACACAAGAACTATTTCCAAAATTTTGACAAAACTGAGTTTTACAGAACATTTGTTTAGCTCATTACATGAAAGTAAGGTTGATAATATAACTTAGATTATAAAATCTTTGGTTTTACTAAAATTAGTTGATGCAAAAATGAATACACCCCACAACAAAAACTACTACATCTAGTATTTTATATGACCTCCATGATTTGTAAGGACAGCATAAAGTCTTCTAGGTATTGAATGAACAAGTTGGCGACATATTGCAACATCTATCTTTTTCCATTCTTCTCTAATTTAGAGCCTGGATGCTGGATGGAGAGTGAATTCCCCATAGGTGTTCAATTGGGTTTACTTTAGGAGACATACTTGGCCACTGTTCTTCTTCAGAAATGCAACAGTGGCCTTAGATGTGTGTTTTGGATCATTGTCATGTTGGAAAAATGCAGGATGACCAAGGGCATGGAGTGATGGTAGCATCTTCTCTTTCAGTATAGAGCAGTACATCTGTGAATTCATGATACCATCAATAAAAATGCAGCTCACCAACACCAGCAGCACTCATGCAGCCTCACAGAAGGACACTGCCACCATCATGTTTCACTCTAGTCACCATGCATTTTTCTTTGTGCTCCTCACCTTTGTGATGCCATACAGTTTTTGAAGCCATCAGTTCCAAAAAACATTTATCTTGGTCTCATCACTCCAGAGTACAGAGTCCCAGTAGTCTTCTTCTTTTTCAGCATGGGCCCTGGCAAATTCTAGGTGGGCTTTTTTGTGCATGGGCTTAGGAGAGGCTTCCTTTGTGGATGACATCCATGCAAGCCATTCCTCTGCAATATATGCCATATTGTATCACGGGGAAACAATCACCACGGTTTGGCTTTCTACTTCTTTAGCTAACTGCAGTGAACTTGCATGGCGATTTTCTTCAACCCTTCTCATCAGAAGACACTCCGGTCGATGTGTTAACTTCTGTGGTTGGCCTGGACATCTCTGTGAAATGGTTGAAGTTCCATCTTTGTTCAAATTTTGCATAACTTTTGCTACAATATTCCGACCAATAAGTAAAGCTTTGATGATCTTCTGGTAGCCTTCATCTTTCTTGTCTAAAGAAATTATTTTCTTTCTCAGGCCTTGTGACATTTCTCTTCCATGTGGTGCCATTGCTGACAGCATGAAATGGGAAGGGGTTTTCTTTGTTAAGTAATGCCCTTTTATAATCAACTGTCTGCTGGACATCTGTTTAATGAATAATTAGACTCACATGTAGTTGAATCCTTCTTAATAAGGATTTTGTTGTCTAAACTTTATTTTTTGCTACTAAGACTTTCATTGGGGTGTATTAATTTCTGATAACATGGTTTTGAATTTGTTAGGAAAAATACTTTTTTGTATGTGCAAATTAACAAATTTTGTATGCAATCAAGGGTCCGCATTTGTGGGAGTATTTTGTAGTATAGTGTCCCATAGAAAATGTTGATTCAGAAAGGAAAGTAAAGGTTTTCTGACAAATCTGCTGAATGTACTCATTTATGCTGAACATATATAGTTTTCCCCCCAGCCCGTGCCCCCCCCCGACTTCTCCATCACGACCAACAATGCCACCATCAGTCCCACCCCGCAAGCCAGAGTACTAGGTGGCATTCAAGACTCCAATCTGTCTTTCCAGCCCCAGGTCCAATCACTGACAAATTCATGTAGACTCCACCTCCGCAACATCTCCAAAATACGTCTGTTCCTAACCTTAGAAACTACTAAGCAACTCATTCACTCTCTTATCATATCACAACTTGACTACTGTAACTCCCTCCTCACTGTCGTACCTCACCACAGGCTATCCCCGCTTCAGTCTATCCTGAACACTCGGCCAGACTCATCCACCTTACTAACCGCTCCGTATCCGCCACCCCCATCTGCCAATCCCTCCACTGGCTTCCCATTGCCCTACGGATAAAATTCAAAACACTAACATTGACGTACAAAGCTGTTCATAACACTGCCCCAAACTACATCACTGACCTTGTCTTCAAATACCACCCAAATGTACTCTCCGCTCCTCACAAGACCTCCTACTCTCTAGTTCCCTGGTCTCCTCCTCCCATGCCCGTTTCTTGGACTTCTCCAGGGCTTCCCCCATCCTCTGGAACTCCCTACCCAAATCCATCAGACTATCACCTACTCTCCTCTTCTTTAGGCACACCCTGAAAACCTATCTCTTCAGGGAAGCCTACCCCACCCTCAGCTAATTGCCGATCTCCTCCACTCTTCCTACCACTCCATCCCCCCACAGCTATTTCCTCCTGTACCACTATCCCCTCCCTCCTAGATTATAAGCTCCAAGGATCAGGGCCCTTGAACCCCTCATGTATCAAATTGTATTGTTACTGTACTGTCTCGTGTACTGTCTCCCATTGTACAGCGCTGAGCAAACTGTGGGTGCTATATAAATACTGTATAATAATAATATATATATATATATATATATATATATATAGAGAGAGAGAGAGAGAGAGAGAGAGAGAGAATACAAAATACTAGATGTAGTAGTTTTTGTTGTGGAGTGTATTTATTTTTGCATCAACTAATTTGAGTAAAACTGAAGATTTTATAATCTAAGTTATTTTATTAACCTTACCTCCATGTAATGAGCTAACATATGTTTTATAAAGGTCAGTTTTGTATACATTTTGGAAATTGTTCTTATGTTCATTGAGATATTGATTCAAATCTTACTTTTCAAAAGGGTGTACTCATTTATGCTGAGCACTGTATATATATATATATATATATATATATATATATATATATATAGATAGATAGATATCTCTCTCTCTCTCTATATATATATATATATATATAATATAATTAATTTATTTACTTATTTATTTTAAGCTAAACAAGGCTTTTTCTATTGATATTGCCTTGAAGAAAACATTTTTTTTTTTTGGCCATTATGTCAAACTGACATCATATACAGATTGAAGCTTACCGCTACAGACTGGACCACATGAGGTTTGGGCAAGTGGATTTGCTTTATTGAAACTTTCATTTGGTTGTGACTGGTTGTGACTCATTGAGTTGACTGTACCTTAGCTGTTCTATGTGCTTGCCATACATCAAATACATTTTTGGTGGTGATGCAGCATTTTCCTTCAGATAGATGCAGCTATCCGGAAAATCACATGAGGACAATTCAGGTGTCAGCATTGTTAATCCAGAAGAAACTGAGACAATTTTATTCCCTTTCAGACCTCTTCTTTTGGGAGTGATGCCACAGAAGATTTGTTACATGAATTTAAGAAATTAAGATAGTGTTCCAATTATCTCAAACTCCATGGTTGCACTCTATCAGGTAATTATAGAGCCCTAGAAATACCAAAGGGGTTCTGAATCTTTAATGATGTAATTATAGGCAGACAAATGCATTAATTTGAGAAAAGTGGAACAAAGTTGCAAAAGAGAATTCTCTCTCATGCTCCTGGTCATACAGAAGGGGAAAACACAACTCTGGCAAATTAAGTGTGAAATGATGACACTTCAGGAGTAATACAATTCAGAGTTCTCTGTGACCACAGAATCACAGTGCAGATAAACAGATCTTTCCTCCTAAACTGACAGTCAGGCACAATAAGAGGAAGACATATAAACACATCAGCCAGGACTTTAGTGAAAGATGTGTATACCCATGCTTATGCTTAACAAGTTATTAGCATTCTCAACAGGTTAAAGAACTCCTCTGCCCACAGCATTTGTAATAAACTGAAGTCAACTGATGGTGTCACTATCATTGGTGGTTGGCTGTCAGAAATATTTCCAAATGCACCTTGGTGGATTATCCCAGATTTCTGGCAATTTCTGCATTATCAAAGGTCTTTAAAGGCCCCAGTGCCTTGAAATATTGCTTAACCACCTCCTGCCCGCCATATAAGGAAATGTCGAGTGGGTGGTAGCTCTATCGTTCTGGGAGGACGGCATATCTCCTTCTGCTCTAATTGTACCTGTGTGCCACTGGGGGTGAGCAGCACGGCGATCAGTGGTGTGCACTGTCCCTGGGACACAGTGGATCACCGATCACAGTGAAGAGTCGATGACACAGGCTCTGCTATGTTATCAGCTGTGTCCAATCACAGCTGATCGCATGTAAACAAGGAAATGCCGGTTATCGGCAGTCCTCTCCTCACGCTGACAGCGCGTGAGGAGAGGAGAGCTGGTAAGCGGCATTCCTCAGAGAGAATATCTACACTGATCATCAGGGCACTTATGATCAGTGCCTTGATGATGAGTGTAGCCCCATCAGTGCCACCTGTCAGTGTCCATCAATGCCACCTGTCAGTGCCCATCAATGCCGCATACCAGTGCCCATCAGTGCACATCAATGCCACATATCAGTGCCTACCAGTGCACATCAATGCCACATATCAGTGCCCATCAGAGCTGCCTTTCAGTGCCAAATTTCATTGCCATTCATTGCCGCCTATCAGTGCCAGTCAGTGACACCTATCAGTGCTGCCTATCAGTGCCGCCTATCAGTGCCATATATGAGTGCTGCCTTTCAGTGCCCATCAATGATGCCTGTCAATGTCCATCAGTGCCACATACCAGTGCCTCCTCATCAGTGCTGTCTATCAGTGCCCATCACTGCAGCCTCATTAGCGCACATCAGTGAAGGATAAAAATTACTTATTAACAAACTTTTATAACAGAAACTAAGAAAATTATTTTTTTAAATTTTCAGTCTTTTTTAGCTTGTTTAGCAAAAAAATAAAAACCCCAGTGGTGATTAAATGCCACCAAAAGAAAGCTCGATATGTCTAAAAAAAAGTTACAAATTTTGTTTGGGTACAATATTGCATGACTGCTCAATTGTCACTCAAAGTGCAACAGCGCTGAAAGCTAAAAATTGGCCTGGGCAGGAAGGGGGTATAAGTGTCTAGTAGGCAAGTGGTTAAACATGTCAGAATCTGGTGACATCACTCAACCACACGCCAAATCCTTGACTCTCACCTTCAGCCACTCTTCACTGCTTTGGCTTTCAACTTACAGGACACTAACCACTTCCTTTCCTGTGCGTGGCTCCACCCAGACAGCTGTGTCAATCATTCACAGAGATCTGTGAATAAAGGTCCCTTTTGTCACTGCAGCAATAGACTCATAGTTCTCAAGGGAGCACAAGTGTGGTGGTGTCACTGCATTTGTGGTCTATTGATACTTCCTTCAGCTCCATAACTGAAGGTCTGTATTCCAGTATGAACCTGAGCTGGAGGAGGAGTCCGCAGGAGCAAGAGCATTTTCACTAATTATGGTTGCAATGCTGTGCAGACTCCAATGCAAAAATAATAATAATAATAATAAAAAAATAAATATATAGTGTATTTGTTTTGTAAAGCGAGACTGTTATCTTGTATCTGCTAAGCAAAAAGTCAGCATATCAACATCCAATGAAAGGCTATATTTACATCAAATGACACACATATGTTTAATGGTCTATCGAGTTTTATAAATAAACGTGTGTACTTCAAAAAGATGTATTTCATGTGATCTATCGTAAATACATATTGTTTGGTGAAAAATTCTCCAAATGACTATTTATTTAATCTAGGTGACCCCCTTCATTGCAGGGCACAGCATGAACTATTTATGTGCTTCAGAAAAATGTTTCACATTAATAAAATACACCGTAAATAACATATGGCATGACTTAACTTACATATTTTCATTATATACATAAACATCATAGGGTTTCATTCTACTTTCATTTTGATGGATTCTTTTAACACACTGTCATGTATGACCTTCCCTTTCTATTTAAGTTTTTTGATAGAAGCCATCAATTATATCTGTGATAAGGTCACAAGTGTAAACACTGTCAGCAATAACACATCGCTGCTAATCATGAATTAATACTGGATTGTCAAATGTAATTAATGCTTATCGTGTTTAATGGGTGACTTTAAGTGTACAAATGCTGGTTTTTTGCTGTATAACAGTATATTTCACAAATATATATTTACTTTAACTAAGAAGATTTTCTCCACTTGGCAATTTTAACAGTTAATTTTTGCCACCAGCATTATATATAAGTGGATTTATGACCTAGAGCGCGATCAATTACAGTGTTTAAAATAAGAGACTTTCCTTGCACTGTACAACTAAGTCTTCTCTCAGCCTTCCTAGTTTATTTCAAGTAGTTGAAGGAATGTGATTGTTTATTACCTGCAAGATTGCAGTTGAAGCTGCAATAGAAATAAGGCCTCTTTCACACAGGCCACTCTTCACTGTTTTGCCTTTCAACTTACAGGACACTAACCACTTCCTTTCCTGTACGTGGCTCCTCTTTCACACAGGCATTCCATATGTCCATTTTTCATCTGTCTGTTTACGGATGAAAAACGGATACCCATGTATTTCTATGGACTAGTGGATGTAAATAGATGATTATCTGTTTACATCCGTTAATGTCCGCATCTGTTAATATCTGTTTTTGAATAGAAGAAAACTCTATTTTTCTTCCATAAAAAAAAAGGAACAAATAGGATGTAAATGGATGAAAAACAGATGTAAATGAATGAAAACAGATGAAAACCAGAAAAAGTGGATTAAAACGGATGTAAAATGAATGTTAACGGATGTCAAATGGATGAAAATACTGATGTAAACTGATGAAAAACGGATGTAAACTGATGAAAAACTGATGAAAATTGATCAGTTTTTTCTTTGAAAAACATGACTGAACTGATGAAAAAAATGGAATGCCTGTGTGAAAGGACCCTAAAAGTTATCGAGAGCACAACAACTTGCTGTTTTGTGATTGTTTTTAAGACAGACATATTGCTGCATTCATGTATTTTGACCTTAGTGAGAGATGGATGTTTGGGGCTTAATAGTTAGTTGTGTATTAGCTTACTATATAAGACATACCAAATAAATATTACATTACACATCTGTTAAAAAAATATATTACATGACACTTTGTGGAGATGTGGTAGTATTATTATCATTGTAATACAGGATTTATAGAGTGTCAACAGATTGCATAGAACTTTACAATATAAAGGGAGGCAGTACAGTTACAATACAATTCAAGACAAGAGGGTTAGCAGAAACTCTACTCATGAGAGCTTACAAGGGAGGGACAGGTGATACTAAGGAATCAAATGTGGGATGAGCTGATGGAGAAGGTAAATTCTAGTTGTTAGACAGAGACAAGATAAGGTTCCCTGAAGAGATGAGACAGAAGATAAAGGCAGACAGACTATGAAATAGCCAGAGAGATTGGAGTAGGGGGTTCCAGAGCATGGAAGAGGCTCTTGAGACGTCTTGGAGCTGAGCATGGGAGGAGATGAAGAGAGAGTTAAAGAGCAAGAGGTCTTGGGAGGAGTTAAGAGGACAGTTTGGGTGATATTTTGAGACCATGTTGGTGATTACAAGAAAAAAAGAGTATACTTTATATGGATCTGGAATTGTTTGATGTTTATAATGGAACCAACTTTCTAAGTAAAAAAAATACATTGGAGCGAAAGAGTAAGGGACTTTTAAGGTACCAGAAAAAGTCATAAAGTGCATACAAGAAAATAAAAGTTGATAGTTTTTATTTAAACAGTCATTACATAGTACATAATTGATCCAAAAAGACTCACACAGTAAAACACTACACCATTATGCTCACAATCCCCATGCTGCCTGTTTGTTATTCTGCACAATGGGAACACAGTCTTTTAAAAATCTATTTATGGAATAAGTGCAACATTATTGCATTACAGCATGCCATTCTTGGGATTGCAAACACTTGCAGGATAACAATGAGACTTTTAGTGTAGAGTTCTCCTGCGTTCCCTCGCATTTCCTCTTGTTCCTGCCTTAAAAAAGCTGATCTCCACATTATTGCATATAGATGTTTTTTTATTGTGTCTATTGCCTAAATGCAATTAACTCCTGAATAAGTTGTAAATCAATGCAACACATAGAACAAATTGCTCATCTTTCTTCAATAATGTTGCAGTTATGCTATAAATGGACTTTTAGAAGAGAACACCATAATCTCATTATTCAGAATAATAGAAGACAACATATGGAATATGACCATGGTGGTGTAATGTTTTACTATGTGTGAGTTGTATCAGGCTCAAATATGTACTATTTTATTACTGTTTAAATAAAAATTATCAACACATTATTTTGTATGCATTTTACTTTTCTGGTACCTTAAAAATTCCTTACTCTTTCTTTTCCATACAAGGTTGGTGATGTAGCTTTGGACATTTTTTCAGGAAAAATTCGAGACACATGGAACTTTTTCAGGGTATTCCTTAGGCAAAATGAACACTTCTTGATGTTCCCTATATTAATAGTGGATTAGATAAGGACCAAAAGTGTCCGTTGATTATCTGCTCCTGTCCTAATTAATCTTTGCTAGCTAGCTTTGGAATGTGCGCACACTGGAAGAGACTCACACTGACTAACAAGTTTCAGTCTATGAACACTTCTAGTTTATTATAATGAGAAAGTGAGCTTATAGATGCAAAATGATGCAAGAGTCATGTGAGAACAGCATAAGCATTATATTAGTCTTTGATTGGTCATTTCCACACGAAAACAATCTCCGTCATGGTATAGGTGTGATCTTCTTCCAAGTCTTATCTTATAGAAAGAAAAACATAACTTTGTCTCAAGTTGGCACGATGGGAAGGGGTCGGTGCATGTGAGCAAACATTTCTTAAGCAAGGATTTCTTAAAGTACCACAAAGTCCAGCAGGCAGAAAATATTCACACAACATATGTATTCATACTAAACATTTATAAATATGAAGAAAGAAATAGTATTTAAGTATAAAAGTAAATATGTATAAAAATGTGTAGAAAAACGTATATATATATATATTCAATAGGAAACCAAATAGGCATTTTACCATATTCATCACAGTCCTCCCTTAAAATTACTATTTTACTCTGTCCCTATAGAGCCTAGCTCAACTGTCCTTATGTACCTTGGAACTCTTTTATGCTGTACGTTAGACAGGTGATGACTATTTCATCACCCCCCTTGCCACAGACTTTGTACATAAGGAAGTCAGATGCTATCCCTACAAAATTGTGAGATTACTATTGGCGGGGAGGGACCGTAATGGGGAAACATTTTTCTTCATCTATCATGTGGGGATCCTCTTGCTGCTGGTTCAGGAAGGTAGGTGTACTGTTGTCTACAGCTTTGCTCATCAATTTCGTCACACATGGTATAACACAGCATACAACCAGGACCAGGAGAATCAGAATTATTAGTACAGTTACCCCTATTTGGGCAAGTATCTTTTGCCACCCACTCATCCAACTGCAATATTGATCCCACGAGTCTGTGATCCCTGAATTTTTTTTCAACTCAACTGACAGGTCTTCCAATTTCTTTATAGCCAGAGTAACCTTACCATTCGGGCCAGTATTGTCAGGAATATATGTACAACATGTTCCGGTTCCTTCTATCATTTTACAGACACCTCCTT